AAAATATTTATTATTTTTCTTTATTCTTTATTTTAACTAATTTTTCTTTAGATTATTTTATTATTTTTTTACATTGAAAATTGAAATATTTTGAATGCATTTAAAAATAGAGAATGAGTATTACTCTCCAAATTCCAAATTTGGAGAGCCTAATCCACTCTCTAAATTAAAATGTTAATTTAAAGAGTTTCTTGAAATATGATTTTAAATGTTATTTACGTGTAATATTATTTTATTGAAAAATGTGTGACTAAAAATAAGAGAGAATAAAATGTATTTTAAAAATAATGGAAATAAGGGACAAAATTATAAACAAATTGTGACAATTGTTTTTCCATTAAAAAAAGAAGAAGAAAAAAGAAATGAGGTGGCAAGTGCGCGGGAAAAATACTAAAAAAGCAGAGCAAAGAAATTGAACCCATCCGCCTTCTCCTTCCCCCAGTATACATACAGACAGACAGACATCCTTAAAGAATACAATCGAATCAAATCTTGAAGCTTTCCAGTGGGAGAGAAAAATGGTGGGTACACGGCGTGGGAGTCAGAAAACTGAAAAGAGCAAAGAACCAAAGGGAGAAAATGAAAATGGAGGTGGGCGAGAAATAGTAGAGTACGAGGAATCAAGAGCCCAAAGAATCAAACAAAACATGGATAGAATGAAAAGCCTCGGGATTTTGGATCTCTCTAAGAAACTCAAGCCTGAACCTAAACGTCAAATTGCAAAAACCCTTTCTCAGAAGAAGAAACCCGCACGTGATGATCCGCCAAGGCGCTCCAATAGGTATCCAATAACTCTCTTCTTCTCAAAACACAAAATTCAACATTACTATTTCTTTTTCTATTTATGCGTGTGTACTGGTTTTCCTTTTAGGTTACCGAGAAAAAAAAAGGAGAGAAATAACAAGTCATCGTTATAAATTGTCCCTAGGTTATTTTTTGTTTTTACAATGAATTTCCAGTTTCATTTTGTTCATGTTCAAGTCTTTTAATTGGGTGTGGGGTTGGGAGGATGTGAACCCAAATTTTCCATCCGGGTCATTTTTTTCTTGCTAATGATGCTTATAGAAACAGAAAAATCATGAAATTATAGACACTGTTTTTTATTCCTAATCTTAATGTTGGCTGAGAATTTTGCTCAGGTTGCAAGAGATGCCTCGGGTGAGTTACTTCGAAAAGAAAACTGAAAGAAAGGGGATTCCAGTGAAAATTGTTGAGATCCATATAGAAGAAGGTGAAAACCCTGAAACTTACACAGAAGAGCAAGAGAAGCTTTTGGGCGACTGTAAAATCCCTTGGACTCTCTTTGTTGATGGATACGACGAAGAAGGGCAGCGCATTTATGATCCTTTTGAGGGAAAGAGTTGCCATCAATGCAGGTATTTACAGAATGCATTAGAATGCTTTGTTTGTTTAGCCGTGCTATTAAATTTATTTTACCATATTACCATTTAAACAAAACCATCCATTCTACTAGAATGATATGTATATATGTTTGGGGTTCAAAATTTTTTTCTGGGAACTGGGAACGAGCAGAGTAGAGGAATGAAATGAAGAGTGGAATTCAGTTTTTCTGTCGGACTTCGTGTACGCAGGAGTATAATTTAAATTCTTATTTTAGGAGCAAAAATGCCTTTGTAGTTCATACAGTTGTTAAGTGATAGGGGTTTAATTGTCATGGAGAATCAGTACAAATTTTGGTAGTTCTTGTTCGACTAACTCGACACACTTTAATTAACTTATTCAGACTGTTAGTGGCCACACCAAATTTAGGATAGTAGTAGTAGTAGTACTACTATTGTTAAGAGTAATGGAACCAAAACCCAACTTGAAAATGGTAATATTGTAACTTGAAAGAATGCTGCGAATTTGATTAATAAATGGACTAACTTGTTGAGTGCTAAAATATGCAAGGACTCCTATAATTTTCAAGTGCCATTTTGATGATCTTCTCCTGTGACTAAGTATGGCTGGCTTATGCTAAAGAGTAAGCTCTAACTTTGTGGTTTATTTTGGTTAAGTTGAATGTAGGTTGGTCTGCATTAAAAATAAGCCACACATTTGTGTTTATTTTTAAGCATAAGCCATCCAAAACATGCTGTAAATTATGCTAAGCCAGTATATGAATTGTGCCTGATGTGTTTAAAGCAATAGATGAAGCATGTTTGTACAGTAACATGCACGATTAAATGATTAAATAATTCATTTCCCAGAATACGTGTTTAATTTTTAGGCCCTGTTTGGTCCGGATTAAAATCTGATTTTAATCCAAGTCAAAGTCAAACAATCAATATTAACCACATTTTTTATGGGTCTCACAACTTTTCAACCACACATTTCAAAAACTTCTATCACAATCTACTAAAAATCTAATTTTAATCCCCACCAAACACCCTCTTAGTATTTTGTTATTTTCTTTGTGTACGCTCGTCGAGNTGTTTGTTTTGGATTAAAATCTGATTTTAATCTAAGTCAAAGTCAAAGTCAAACAATCAATATTAACCACATCTTTCATGGGTCCCACAACTTTTCAACCACACATTTCAAAAACTTCCATCACAATCTACTAAAAATCAAATTTTAATCTTCACCAAACACCCTCTTAGTATCCTGATTCTTTTGTATGATTATGAGAGGGAAAAGTAGTTACGATAATTGGTTTGTTACTTGCTTAGGACTAGGCCTGCTTAAAATGATAACGTAAAACCGAGATATTTTTCGAATAATTATGTAATATTTAGATAGGAAGATGCCTTTGGTCCAACCATATGTATATGATATCGATTGCGCACTCCCAACACATTTTGACTGTTTATGCCTTTTGCTTCTTTCAGATGCACAGGTTTTCTGCACTATCTTACCTATTAATTTTCTATATCCAGTCCAACAAGCACCATATTTTCTTTAGTATCTGAGTGAATTACTGAAATGAAACCATGTATATCTCTGACAGCCGCTATCGATCACTCTCATTTTATTTAACATCTTAGAATAATCAGCTTTTGGGTTAGTGTAATTATCAGTTTAACCACCTTCTCTGTGACTGTAATCTTCCACCCCAAACATCATAAGAAAGTAGGAGTTGAAAGTACTATAATCCTGCCTGTTTTCCCATATTATGTGCCCCACTCTCTCTCTGCTGGCTGATTTATTGTATATTAATAAAGCTATCTCATATATGATGTAACAATGAGATTGCAAGTAGTAGTGCACCTTATCTTACTGGTGGATATGTTCAACGATGTTTCTTCAAGGGCTATCTTTCAGCTACTATTTTACTTTCGATTTTTCTTTATTTCAAAGCATTTCTATTTAGTAAGTTTTTCGACATTAGTTTGCCATTTTCACTTCCTAGTATATAACCAGTAACGACTTCAATTCCTGCAGACAAAAAACTCGAGGTCTTCGCACTGAATGCAGCAAATGCAAGATTGGCACTGGACAGTTTTGTGGTGATTGCTTATACATGAGGTTTTTGGAAAACAAATATTCGCTTGCTTTCATTGATATTTGTGTTTCATTTCATCTCAACCTGCAAATACTGTATTGTATTCTATGTTCATGCATGCTTTTAGTGAATTAACATGTATATATTTCGAAATTCATTTAGTGATAGGTGAGGTTTTTTGGTCCCATCCTAATCTTAAATGGGGGGTCTTGGATTGCCCACTACCTAGTATATTGACTGAAAGAATTACTACAAATGGAGGAGCGTATGACCAACTTACCTCGTATTGTTACCAAGGGGGAATGGGGGCATGGGGGGTCTTTTTGTCTCTACACACACATACTTACTTTCCAGAAAAGATCAATGCACTAATCACCGTACTCAAATTTAATGGATTTGTTGCTAAAATATCAGTACTAAATCTCAAACTCCTAACAGATGGCCAGTGGCCCAAAGAAA